CAAGCTCTCCCGCACCAGAAGGTATCTTCATCCCTCAGGCAATGAGCAATCCCGGAAACAAAATGAATCCTGCATTTAGATACATCGACATCTGCAAATGGCGCCCTCAGCACAGGAAGATTAGGCAGCACAAACGGAGCAGGCTCTTCCCCATCCGCCTCAGACTCAGCCGAATCCTCGTCCGAGGCGTTGAACTGCTCGGCCGCGACCTCCTCTGGCGAACGCGCTATGCAGGATCCAAATCGGGGTCGAAAGCCCCGCTCCTGATTGTCCTGTAGAGAGCCAGAACCTTGCCTGCCAAACTCGTATAAGCTTCACGGCTGTAGGTTAACATGCTCTTGACACTCGGCTGAACATGATGTCCAAGAAGCAAACGCTCAGCCTTACTCAGTCGTAGAGCGTCCTGCCCAAGTCAAAAGAGTGACCTTCAAAGAATGAGTCCCTAGGCTCTTAGCCCCGGGACCCTCATTTGCCAACCACTCCTGAATCCAAGCCGAAGCCTCTGCAGCTCCCATCGGTGTCGAACCCCAAGCATCGAGGCGCAATGACCGCGTAGGGAGAGCATAACCTTCAGGCCCTGCTCCAAAACTCAAACCACACTTAGCCCTAGCATCAATCCACAGTTGCCCCCAGCCGCATTCAGTGAGGCCCTGCGCTAAAGCTGCATATGGAGTGAACTTCGTCTTGGCCTCCTTGCTCAAGGCTGTCTTGCTGCCCAGCGCATCACCAAATAAAACCTGGCTCTCACCTGAACCCAGCAACTCCAAAGATCTGATACGCTGAGCATCCTTCCATCTGCAAACAGCATGCACACAGAAGAGAACCTGGCCCAAGATGCACTGCTCCACAGCCCCAACTTTGACCATTATGCCCTCCAACGCTTTAACCTGACTGCAAGACAGAGGGTCCCGCTGCTTCAACGGCGCCTTGCCAAGGAAGCTCGAATGAGCCAAGCCTTTGCAGCGAGCTGAAATAACTGCCTCCAGGTCAATGCACTGAAAACGTACAATACCATGTAAAAATCGAAGACTCTCAAGGATATGGGCCGGTGCTGTAGCCCCACACCCATTATCCCTTAGCGCCGTCAATGCATTATACAGATCAGCTTCAGACATGCGCCAGGGAGACTCCACTCCCTGATTGTACAGTTGCAAAACCAATCTCTGCAATGACGAAGCTCGCTTGGTAAGTGTTCCCGCAGCCTTTGCACTAAAAGCATCGCAGAAGCTCGCCGACACAACTTCGTCAGCCTCTAATGCTCCCGACTGCTTGACCAGGCTGAGCCCTAGGCCCGATGCCGCGGGGTCCAAAAGCACCATCGCCTTGAGCTTCTTCAAGGCATAATTCCTTTCATCCTCATCGCATCTCTGAAGCCTCACATTCTTAAGGCGTCTTTCAATCGTCCAGGGAATCTTTGTTCAGGTTCCTCCGGACAATTCAAGGTTTCTCGGACTCCCACAGAAGGAGTTCTGGAAAGCCAGGAAGACAAGGATGTTCGAAATGTCCTTCTCCCAAAAACAGGATGTTCTTCCCAGCCTTGCCGAGGCCTCTCGATTCGCATCCTTTTGAAAGAGGATTCAGCTGCCAGCCTCGTGAAAGCATCATCTGTAAGGGGAGGGCCAACCGAATTGGCACTCGTCCCACCTTCCAAGATCGACGAACCAGGGGCAGATTCAGTATCATCCAGAGCTGCACCAAAGTCCCTCGCAGAAAATCCCTCATGAAGACGAACACGATCATACCACGCATTTTCATCATCAACCGAGGGCTCATAATCCACGGCTTCAGACGCAGCCCCCGGGGGGCTGAAGTCATTGACCCCGTTTCCTGGAGACAGAGGCTCATCCCCCCTGATTTCATCTTCCGCCGGCTCCTGAATCAAGCGCCACGGACTGCTGCTAGGCTCGGACCGCGGGGTAGTCAGGCGGTCAGCCTGCTCGTGAGCGGAGTTCATCGCGCTCACGGGAAGACGATGCGAGCAAGCCGGTGCCTGTCAGCAAACGCCTGGTCAATGAGCCGAGCGAAAATAAGGTAAAGCTCGCGAGAGGCTTTTCTGACCAGATGGAAGGAGTCGGTCCCGATGGCCAAGAGCACCAACGCGTTGGTGCGAGACGCACCCAGAAGAGCCTCGAGAAAACAGACTTCTGGCCTGATCAAGATATGAGCAGCGATGCCACGAGATTCAGCGTTCTGCTGCAGCTATATCAAAATCAAGTACCGGCGCGGGTGCGGCGCTCGGGGCCTGTGCCTCACCGCGAGCATGGGCCGGCAAAGCCGGCTGAACTGAGCCCTAAGGGCAGCCTCTGCACTAGCCACCCAAAACCTTCTAGACAGCAGTACAAGAAAATTATCCCGCCCAAAGCTTGAGACACGTGCAGCCCAGAACATTCAATCACGTTCTGCAAAGGAAAATTTTCTTTAAATCTCACATGAAAACTCATTCACGAAAATCTCTCACGAAAGGCTGTCCAAAAACTTATGCAAGAAACTATTAGTTAGCTTGCATCATGAGCATTTGAAAACCCGCACGCACTGCGTGCTTCCCAGCCCCAAGGGAAAGAACGTCTAGTCGACACGTCGAAAACGCCCGTCAGTCATCCGATGACCATTCAGTG